ATGTATATAAATTTTATTTTATTTTTTGTTGTTGTTGTTTAATTATAACAACAACAACGATATAATAAATTTTATAAAATAATATAATATTATTTCAATAACTTATTTTTTTTATAGAGTTATAGATAAGATAACGTGAAAAAATGTGTTTTTTTAGTGATGCATATTTTCAATGATTATATATATATATATATTGCTAAAACATACTGAAAAAATCATAAAAATTTTTTTGATTATAATTAAACTCATTTTTTTGCCATATAGTAGCACTATAAGTATACATATTATATATACACAGTATATATATATATATATAATTAATTAACAATATGTGTGTTAATTATAACAGTATAATAGTAGTAAATATCATTATATATATAAATTTAATATATTATATACAGTATATAATTTTTAAACCTATCCTTTTTAATATGATTTTTTATTTTCAAACAAAAAAATAAGGGGAACGGCGGTCAGCTACCTGTTCAATGAGAGTAATACTACTATATTTTTTTTAATATTGTTGAAATGGATAAATAAATTACACAAAATATTAAATATATAAGATATATATATATATATATATATATATGAAAATAACGATTTTTCTATTAAAATAAAAATTAAATGTTTAATAAAGAAAGGGCTAAATAGAGAGAAAAAAAACAATTAATATATTTTTTATTAGAAATCTATTGTAAAATTTTTTTAATAAAATATTTTTATTTTATTTTTATATCATACATATATATTAACTATTATTTCTAAACATTATATACTAATATATATTATTTAGCTTAATATCTAAATTATGATAATAACCCAATTTTTCATTAAATGGTTAAAATATTTTTATATAATGATATTTAATATATTAAATCAAATTGTTGTGCATTAATAGACAGTTAGATATAGTATATATATATATATATATTATACAATATTTTATCGATTAATAAAATATGAATACAAATAATTTTATTTATTTATTTTTAGAAAAATGTGTGTAAAATCCGTATCCAAATTGAAATATATTTTTTTAAAATCATAATAATATTTATTTATTTAAATTTTTCACAAAACCACAAATCCGATTATTTGCATAAGCAATCAATTCAAATATATTTATTTAAATTTAATAATTATTATTATTTTACACACACACAAAACATATTTATTTTATTAAAACATGCATTTATTTATATATATACTGTATATTATATATATATATACTGTATATTATATATATATACTGTATATTATATCTATATATATATTATAGTTATACCGTATATAATATAAAAAATTTTCTACTCTTAATAATTATAGCAATTAACTACAGGCACTGGAAAATTACATAAATTTATGTTTATTATTATTATTGATATATAATAATAATAATAATAATAATATTTCTAAACATAAATAATCGATTTGTTTATAACAGTAAATATAACTTATAATATAATACTAGGGAAAAAAATTTTTAATAAAAATTTTTCTCTGAATTTTTGTTGTTGTTGTTGTTAATAGGATTAAAATAAATGTATTTTTTTGAACACAAAATTATTAAATAAATCCAAAAGCAATATTTGGATTATTATTATTATTTGTTAATCAATAATATTATTAAATGTTATTTTATTTTTTAAATAATAATAATAATAAAATATATATATAGTGTTCACATATTGTTTAAATCATATATATATATATATATATTTTTATATACCGGTATTAACCATAATGATAATCTACTGTACTAATACTATTAATAATAATAATAATAATAATAATAATAATAATTCAATGAATATTTTGTTTGAGGGATTTTATTTTTGATTTTTAATATGCTTAAGCTAAACAAAATTGATGATCAAGTTCAAGGGTAGCGCTCAGGTACCTTATAGATAGCTTAGGTATGCAATGATTTTTTTCAGCCCCCAAAACAACTACTGGAGATTAAAACATTTGTGTTGTTGTTGTTGATGATGATTGTCTCCGGGCTATAAATCACATTAAAAAAAGGTAATGGTTTGTATTATACATATATTTTTGTATATATATATATATAATACAGTATATTATTGATGGCTGTAATGCATAAATACCTGATATATTGAGAGCCTATATATATATATTGATAGTATAGATATCTACAAAAAAATGTTTTTTTTAAATGTATACTATTTTAGTGGTAGAAAATCAATAGAAAAAATTTAAAATTTTATTTCATAAAGTTTTTTCTGAGGATAAGTGTAAAGCAAATTAAAAATAAATTAGTATTTATTTAATTTTATTTTTTATTAGTAAATATTAGATATATTATAGATTTTTAAAAAATATATATAATGTGTTTGCATTTATTTATTTAGTTTTTGTTAATAGTTGATAACCAAATCAATACTAGTTATTCAATAGATTACACAACAATTTTTTTGTTGTTGAAATTATTACTAATAAACAAAACAAAAAAAAACAAATTATTAATAATTATTCAAATATATCACTTATTGTTATTAAAAAGTCTATTGAAGATTGAAATTGATGTGATTTTTTTGTTTTTGTTAGTTAAAAGTATCCAAATTTTAGTAATGATTATTATTATGGAAATTCAAGTATAAAAAAATTACATATTTTTTGTTGTTTATAAAATTTTTATGTATATTTTTATCACAACAAAAATAATATAATATATCTAAAAATATTCATTTAAAAAAATTTATTGACTGAAAATTTTGTATTTAACTATTTAAGTATTTTTAATTTATTATTGAGATACTAATAATAATAATAATATTATTATTATTGAGGACATAGTATTTACTATCAAATTTTATGTGTATTTATTATTACTTATTATTTGATTCATTAATAACTTTTTTTTTTGATTTTAATCGTTTATTTTATATCAAAATAATAAAATAAATAATATTATAAATATATTTTATAAATTACACTAATATAATCATTTAAGTTTTGACTAAATAATCTACTGTATGTATATTATAAATCATTAATAAACAAAATAATAATAATAATAAAGATAATTATAATTAAATTGAAGTGTAAAAATATTATATATATATTAATATATTATGTAATTTTCTCCCAAAAAAATTAACAAAAAACAGCTATTTTTTAATAATATATTTGATGTTTTTAGGCGTTAATTATGATTTATGATGTGCTATTGCCTAGTATCGGCAATAATACAATAATATATATATATTAATAGTATTAATAAATGTTAGTTTAATAAATATCAATATATTTTAATATATATATATAATTTTTTAAATGTTTTGTTATAATTTCATATATTAATAATATAATATATAAAAAATAAAATTTAATATAATTTAAGTAAATATTGAAATTTATTTTTTTCATTTTTTTATATTTATTATTAATAAATAGCAATAAATTTGTATTTTGTTTGTTTATTTAGTTTATATATATTAATGCTATCTAATAAAAAATATTTTTTAAGTTTAATATAAATATATATATATATATTGAAAAATATGAATTTTGTTGCAAAAAATTTGTGTCAACAAAGATTTTATTTTTATTGTCAAAAATATTGAATAATATGATATATCAATCAAAAAAAATTATTTTTGTTTTGACTAATCACTAAGTTTTTATATATATATATACTGTATATTAAAAAAATTATTCATTAAAATCTACTAATAAGTTTAAAAGTAATAATAATTATAATAATTTTTTTAAAGTAATAATTACTTATAAATTTCCATAACACACACACACATCAATTAAATACTTTATTATTTTTAATATAATAAACATCACGTACTTATACTAAAATATAAATACATATACAATACTATTTTATATAGTTTTTTTATTGTATATCAAATTTTTTTTTAAAAATATAGTACACTAAATATATACACACACAAAAAATAATAATAATTAAAAAATAGATTTTAAATAATAAGTATTAAAATTAAAATTCTGTCAAAACAATATATTGTATATTAAAATATACAGTAATTTATGATTAATAGTTAAGATTAATTTTTTTGTTGTTGCTTTTTATTAATAATTGATTTTGTTTGTTTGTTTGTTTGTTAATACACTTTACTAATAAAATTTTTTGTTTAAAAATATTTTTATATAAATTATTGTAATACTAAAAAATTATTGCCAACAGGAAATTAATTAACTATAAAAAGGACAGGGATAAGGACCTTATGTCATATATTAGTATATATATATATATATATAAATGAAACCTAAATTCCCAATTAAGTTATGGTATTTATCACTGTTTTTCTATAAACTAAAAATTAAATGGTATTAATATGTTTTTATTTTATTTATTTAGATGTGTGTCTATGTGTGTGTGTGTGTGTGTGTGTGTGTGTGTGTGTGTGTGTGTGTGTGTGTGTCGGTCGGCAATCCTATAAATAACATTTTTAAATATTATTAATAATGATAATAATAATGATTAGATATCGTGACTGTTTTTTTTATAAATATATATATATGTGTGTGTTTTTAATATGTTGTTATACATTAGTGTATTTATTATCAAATAATCGTATGTTTTATTTTTTAAAAAAATGTATGTTTGATAAGTAATAATTAAAAATATTTATAAACCAACAAAAATCAAATGTCATCATTTTAAATTTAGGAAACATTAGTACTATATATGTATTATTAATAATTATAGGAAAAATACTCATATATTAGATACTAATTAATAATTCATTAATAATAAACATATTATTAATTGTTGTTTGTATTGTAAACTATAAAAAAATTATTATTTTTTTTGATAATAATTAACTATTGTTTATGAAAAAAAATTTGTATAAAACTTCTACTAAAAAAATAATACTAAAAAAATATATTATCAATAATTTTTTTTAAAATAACATTTAGTTATTATATTTAATTTTGTTTTGTTTTTTGAAAAACTAATCAAGATCAATTTGGTCGCGATATTTATTTTCATTGAATACCGCGTCCAACAGTTTAGACCATTTTTCTTCGGCCAACATATCGATGACCTGCTGGAGACTGGCGTGTCGGTCGAGTCCCGATCTAACCAATATGTTCTCCTCATTTGATTGACCCTCTTTTAATGGTGGTACCAATTTCTGGTAAATATGATTATAGTTGGCCATCCATGTGATCATTATGTCGACCATCGAGAAGTTCCAGTTGCCGTAATCGATCAGCACTTCGGTACACTCGGGTCGGTCAGCCGGATTCGGGCTATTCATACGACACAACCAATAGAATAGCTTTTCCAATCGTTCCCGACAATAGACACCCGGCCTAAGTCTAGTGGCATCTCTAAAGGGGTATATTATGTGAATATCAGGGTTGCTAAAGGTTTTCGGATTTCAGGGAGGTTTGGGAGGGGTATAGGGAGTGAACATTTTTATTGTATTTTTAAACGACAATTTTTGCTAAGGTTGTAATAGGTCCTATCCCCTCCCTACCAACCCTTTAGCAACCCTGATGTTATATATATATATAACAACAACTATTATGACTACTAATAATTAAAACAAATTTTTTTTTTAATTTATTTCAATTACTTAGCTATCAATACATCCAAATCGATACCAAACAGTTCCGCACCGACAATGGACAAACTGTAGATATCTGATCGATGATCATATGGCAGACCATTGACTACTTCGGGAGCCGTATAGTGTCCACATCCCTGATCGGTAGTATGTTTCCAATTATCGCCTGAACGATAGTGATGGGTGGCTATACCGAAATCAATTAGTTTAACATAACTATTATCGAAACCATTGAACTCAATCAACATGTTATCGGGTCGGATATCGCGGTGAATGATTTGCGGGTCTAACCCGTGTATATGCTCAACGGCTTCCAGTGCCATATTGAATAGCATACCAGTCAGATAAAACTCGGGTTTACTAACAGGATCACCTGTCTGGCGCCTACATATACCGGGTTTGGCCGCCAATAGTTTACGAAAACTACCGGCCGAATAGTCCATTACTATAAACAACTGGCCATCGATTACTTGATGATCATAATAGTTGGCCACATATCGGGAACTGGCTTTTTTCAGATACTTGATCTCATTGTCCCAAACACTACTATCATCTCCATCTGATTTTTTTTAAAAAGCCAATAATTATCATCCAATATATATATATATATATATATATATTTAATTATTAATTGCTAATTATTAATTATATTATAATTGATATTAATTACTAATTATATTATAATTGGTATTAATTACTAATTATATTATAATTAGTAATTAATATTATTAAACTAAAACTAATGTATATATATATTAGTTATTTTTCAAAACAATAATATAGTAATTATTAATTGCTATAAACTAAAACTAATATATATATATTTATTTATTTTTTTAATTTATAATTTTATATATTTACTATTATATAAGTTATTTATTATATTAATTACCGGTACTAACCTAGTAGTGTTGCCACTTTCAATGCATAGTACTCGGATGTTTTGGGGCACTGGACTTTATAGACAACACCATAGGTACCGGTGCCAACTAAATTATCCTGGGTTAGCTGACCCATAAATTGGTCGACTTTTGGCTGTCCCTTACACAACCGTTTTGGTCGGTCATCATTATCATCATTGTTGTCATCATTACCTAATTTTTGGTACGATTTTTTGTTTGTTAAATTTTATTTACTAAATAATTAATAACTAATAATATATTATATAATATAGTAAAAGAAACATATTTTTTTAATTACAGTATATTATATATACAATATATATACAAACCGTTATCATTATGTTGATCCATAATTTATGAAAAATTAATTATTTATTTTTTGATAAAAATTTTATAAACAGTTAATCAGTTATTGTATTATAATATTGTTTTTCAATGTCCCGATATTTATAATCAAACAAATTTTATACAAAATATATATAACATTCAATATATCAAAATCAATATATAATTTAGTTAACAACACTATTACTGTAATTGTTTATTATTATTAATTATTTAAAAAAAAATTTTTTTTTTTTGAGTAAGTTAGTAAATTATTAGATTTTTAATTAAATATTTAAAATAGTTAGCTAGAACCATTACATGAAGCAAACACAATCTAATATAACCTAGAATATTTATCTGAAATAATACTAATGTATAGATTGTAATTTCAATAAATAATATTATTGATGTTAATAACCAAATCATAATGATTTTTATATTTAAAGTTTTTAGTTATCACACAATGTTTTTACAATTACAATAAGTTTTCTATTACTTAATTTACAACTACTTTACTGTATATATATATATTACATTATGTAATTTACATATAATAATATATATATATACTGCATATTTATTTCAAATTATTACATAATAGATAAGTAATAATCAGTGTATAAATGTTTTGAATGATATAATATTATATAATATAAACAAATGTTTTTTGATGACAACTTTTATTTTATAGTTTTATTTTATACTTTTATTTTATCATTAGTATTATATTTAAAACTATTATTTTTAGTAACTTCATTGTTGTTATAAAAACAAATTCTACATAATTTAGGATATTAGTTAACACTTTTAAAAAAAACAAAACTAAATTAAAGTTTACACAAAAATTTGATACAATTGTTTTGCTATATATATATTTAATACTTATTGCTTGATGTTTTTTTCATACAGTTATTCAATGATATTGAAGTTTAGTCTCTCTCTCTCTCTCTCTATATATATATATATATATATATATATTGATTTGAAACTGCAATCACTTTTTCCTTTTTTAAAAAATTGACTTAAATTTAAATTAGTAACGATTAGTAGAAATATTTATAAGTTTACTGTAGTTTTTGTTTGTTTTTTTTGCTAAATATATATTTTAAAAAATTATTTTCTAATTGTTTATAAACATATCAATAATACTGACTAATATTATTTTATTTTTATTTTTTGACTCTAACTGATTACAATAATTTCATTTCAATTTAATACTGTATCATATTTACTATATATTAAAAAAATTTTCCATAAGATAAATAAATACAAAAATATCTATTATTATTAATTCAGAGAAATTATCATAATTTTATTAATAACATTTGTTAATGAAATAATTGAATACTAAATTTCAATAAACAAATTTATATTAAAAAAAATAGATTTTAGATAATAATAATAATTACTGTGTGAAAAAAGATAATTGAAATTATTATCAAAAAAATAGAGATAAAATTTGAAGTGTTTACCGGTCTTTTAATTCATATAAATATTATCTATATTTGTCACTAAAAAAATTCATAAATAGATTTTATACAATATTTATTACATTACTTTTTTAAACAATTATTTTATATATTAATAATTTTGCATATTTATTATTGCATTAAATTTATTACATCATTACATGAGTCTAAATTGTAGTCAACAAAAAATTTATAAACATGTATATTTAAAGCATATTAAAAGATATATTGTATGAAAAATATTTTTTTTTTTAAAATTTTAAACACTTTATTTAATATCTAATTTATTTAATTAATTATTTATCAGTGAATACGGCGTCCAAAAATTTAGTCCATTTTTCGTCGATGGCCAACATATCGATAAAATTTGAAAAGTTTTTCAGTTTAATATTTACCGATCTTTTAATTCATTTTTTTGAAAATTTTATGAAAATATTATCTATTATTTATAACTAAAAAAATATACAAAAAAAAAATTAAAAATATTTATTACATTAGTTTATTAACAATTAGTTTATACTTTAATTTTCATATTTATTATACAATTGTGTTGTAATATATATTTTGATAAAAATTAAAAATAAAAGCTAATTACTGCTTAAAGAAAATAATACTTAAAAATACTGGCAGTTAATCATTATTATCAATAATTTTAAAAAAAAAACAGTTAATTATTTAGTTATTGTTGTTGTTGATGGAAAACAATCTAATCAATTGTTCAATTTGGTCGCAATATTTATTTTCATTGAATACCGCGTCCAACAGTTGAGACCATTTATCTTCGGCCAACATATCGATGACCTGCTGGAGACTGGCGTGTCGGTCGAGACCAGCCCTAACTAATACGTTTAGCTCATTGGGCTCGTCAGCTGTTGATTGTGGTACCAAATCTAAAAATTGCTGGTTATAGTTGGCCATCCATGTTATCATTATGTCCTCCATCAAGAAGTTCCAGTTGCCGTAATCGGCAACAACTTCGGTACACTCGGGCCGGTCAGCCGGATCCGGGCTATTCATACGACACAACCAATGGAATAGCTTTTCCAATCGTTCCCGACAATAGACACCCGGCCTAAGCCTAGTAGGATCTCTAAGGAGTGTATGTTATATAACAACTATTATTATAACTAATAATTAAAACAACAAAAAATTCATTTCAATTACTTAGCTTTCAATACATCCTAACCGATACCAAACAGTTCCGCACCGACAATGGACAGACTGTAGATATCTGATCGATGATCATATGGCAGACCATTGACTACTTCGGGAGCCGTATAGTGTCCACATCCCTGATCGGTAGTATGTTTCCAATTATCGCCTGAACGATAGTGATGGGTGGCTATACCGAAATCAATCAGTTTGACATAACTATTATTGAAACCATTGAATTCAATTAACATGTTTTCCGGTCGGATATCCCGGTGAATGATTTGCGGGTCTAACCCGTGTATATGCTCTACGGCTTCCAGTGCCCTAAGGAATAGCATACCAGTCAGATAATACTCGGGTTTACTAATGGGATCATCCGTTTGGCGCCTACATATACCGGGTTTGGCCGCCAATAGTTTGCGAATACTACCGGCCGAATAGTCCATTACTATAAACAGTTGGCCATCGCGTACCTGATGATCATAATAGTTGGTCACATATAGGGAACTGGCTTTTTTCAGATAATCGATCTCATCGTCCCAAACACTACTATCATATCCATCTGTTTTTTTTAAAAAGCCAATAATTATCAAAATATATATAATATGGTAATTATTAATTGCTATAAACTAAAGCTATATATATTTTTTTAATTTATAACAATTATAGTTATTTATTAATTAATATTAATTATAATTATTATTAATATTATACTAATTACCTAAAAGTTTTGTTTTTTTCAATGCATAATACTTAGATGTGTTGGGGCACTGGACTTTATAGACTATACCATAGGTACCGGTGCCAACTATATTATTTTTGGTTAGCTGATCCATAAATTGTTCAACTTTTGGCTGTTCCTTACATAACCGTTTTGATTGGTCGTCATTAGTGTTGTCATTATCATCTAATTTTGTTAAGATTTTTAAAAATAAATTTTTTATTTTATTTTTATAGTTTACTAATAATTAAACTAATGTTAATGTGATTACTAATAGTTATTAATAGTTATTTATTAGTTAATATAATTAATTAGATATTACAAACCGTTATAATTATGTTTATCCATCGATTTATGCAAAAATTATTTATTATTTGTTTTTTTTGATAAAAAAATAATTTTATAAACAGTCAGACAGTTTGTGTCAGTATTGTGTAGATATTGTTATGTTTTCAATATCCGACACTATTATATATAATATATATATATACTGTATATTATATTATTATTCAATTATGTAGTTGTTTTTTGACACATATATTAAATAATTTTCAGTTAAAAAAAATTAACTTGAAAATTTAAATTGAAAACACATCAAAATATGGCCCAACAAAAAAAACTAGTGAAATGGTGTAGAGATATCGATACCGATATTTATAGCTGTTTTTTTAAAAAAAAAAATTTTTAGTTATCATATAATAGTTTAAATTAGAAAATTTCAATATTATTTAAAAATATATATATTATTTAAACAAATTATATAAACAATTTTCGGTAACATCTCGGGTATCATTTCCCTGTCTGCTAAACAGCACTGGTTTGGTCTCAATTGACTATAAGCAGGGTTTTTAAAAATGGCAGGCATAAACAATAGATGCCTATTTTTTGCCAAATGCCTGCCCTGCCTCTGCTATTTCATGGGCATCTATTTGGCAAGGTGGTGACACCTATTATTTATAATTTTATATTATTAATTAATTTATAATTTTATATTATTAATTAATTTATAATTTTATATTATTATTTCATTTATAATTTTATATTATATATATTTGTATTTTTGTTTTTATATATATCTTTAATTAAAATTGTAATATTATTTATTGTAATAAGTATTGCCAGGCATTTATGGCATCTATTTGGGCATTGCCAGGACAGGCATTTATTTTCTTAAAAACAATGACTATAAGACATAAGCATTATATAAAAAATTATTTAAAATAATATTATATTATTCAATATAATGTAATTTAGTTAACATCAGGGACACTATTACTGTAATTGTTTATTATTATTATTTTTAGTTTTTTTTTTAAAAATCTGCCGGTATATTTAAATAATATTTTTGCAAAAATTTTATATTAGTTATAATTTTTTTTTAAAATTAAATAGTAAAAAATTGTTTGCTAGAACCATTATATAAAAGCAAAAACACAATCTAATATAACCTAAAATATTTATCTGAAATAATACTAACGTATAGATTGTAATTTCATTAAAATAATATTACTGATGTTTTTAACAACCAAATCATAATTTTTTTTTTAGTATTTTAAATATTTTAGTTATCACACAATGTTTTTTTTTTACAATAACAATATAAGTTTCTATTACTTAATTTACAACTATACTTTTATTGTATATTCAATATTCAATTTATTATTACATAATAGATAAGTAATACAGAAATCATTGTAAATGTTTGAATGATATAATATTGTGTATACTATAAACAAATGTTTTTTTGTTGACTACTTTTATTTTTATAGTTTTTATGCTAATCATAAGTATTATATTTAAAACTATTATTATTATTATTATTATTTGTAACTGCATTGTTGTTAATGAAAACATAAATTCAATATATTTTGGATATTAGTTAACAGTATTTTTAAAACTAAATTAAAGTTTACACAAAAATTTCATACAATTGTTTTGCTATATATATATATATATTATTATTTATATAATAATATTATTATAAAATTATTTATATATATATATTTGAAAATGCAATAATTTTATTCCATGAAATTGACTTCAATTAATATTACATACGATTAGTTTACATAATATATTATAGTTTATCAGTAATGATGACTAATATTTTTTTTAGATGCCTTTATTTAATATCATATTTGCGATACATTAAATAAATTACATAATATAAATAAATATCAATTGTTTTAATTCTGATATTTTTTAAAAATAATATTTGGTAATGAAATAATTATATAACTAATATTTTAATAAACAAATTCATAAACTTAAAATTTTTTTTAGATAATATTTAATATAAAAAATAATAATAATAATTACTTTCTGAAAAAATTTTATTTAACAATCTTTATAGCATTAGATAACTATATTATATTAATTGAATTTTTTTTTGAATTAATAATAATTGTACAAAAAATACATTATTTTTTGAAAATATTAAATTAATTTTTATTTATAATATAAATTTATTGTAAAATATATTTTAATTGATAGATAATTAATACAAATTAATTCATTGATTATATGAATCAAATGGTAGTTTTTTTAAATAGTAAACTATATTAAACTATTGTATATTTAAAGATACAATTAATAATAATTACAATACATAAACATTTTAAATACTGTATTAATATAAATAATTAAATTATTTATTATCGGTAAACAATGGGTTCAACAGTTTAGACCATTTTTCAGTGGCCAACATATCGATGACCTGTCCGAGACTGGCGTATTGATCGAGTCCGGCCCTAACCAATAGGTTTTCACAGTTGGTACAACAGTGATCCTCTACAAATGGTGGTACCAATTGCTCAAACATATTATTATAGTTGTTGGCCATCCATGTGGTCATAATATCAAACTCTGGGATATTCCAGTTGTCGTAGTCGGCCAACACTTCCGTACAGTCGGGTCGGTCATTGGGATCGGTGCTATTCATATGGCACAACCACTGAAATACCTGTTTCATCGGTTCCCTACAGTAGACTCCAGGTGTAAGCTGAGTGGCATCTCTATGGACGGGTATGTTATTTTAAAAATATTTCTAATAATTACTTAAAAATAATTTCCTTTCAATTACTTAGCTTTCAATACATCCAAATCAATACCAAACAGTTTGGCCCCGACTATCGATAAACTATAGATGTCTACCCGATGATCATAATCCGAACCACTGGCCACTTCGGGAGCACAATATAGTATACATCCACATACACCAGTGGAATGTTTCAAATTATGATGATTACGGTAGTGATGGGTGGCTATACCGAAGCCAATAAGTTTGACACCAATTGAATTGCCATTAAACGCTATCATTAGGTTTTCGGGTCGGATATTTCGGTGAATGATTTGCGGCTCTAACACATGTATATGTTGTACGGCCTCCAGTATCTGTTTGAATAGTATAGCCGACAAATAAAACTCGTATTTACCCATAGGATCGCTCTCTCGGCGCCTACATATCCAGGGTTTGATATCCAATAGTTGATGCAAATTACCCGAACAATACTCCATAAGCAGAAACAATTGGTCTCCGATAATGCGGTGATCATAATAATTGGCCACATATTTTGATCGGGCATTTCTAATATACTCTATCTCATTGTCCCAAACACTACTATCCATATAATCTGTTTTTTAAACATAAATATTATATAATAATTAATTTTTTTTAAAACAAATATAAATAGTTTTCAACAAATATAATACATTTATTTAAATTAATAATAATTAATATTTAGAGTAATATTTTTAATAATTTCTAAATAATAAATCTAAATGTATAGTAATGTTTGTTGTTGTTTTTTTAAAATAATTTTTTGACAATAAATAGGTTATAAATATTAATAATTTAATATATATATATATATATATATACTTAAAAATAACAATGAATGTAAATATACTGTATATTAATAACTATATCATATATATATATATACAGTATATTAACCTAGAAGTGCTAAATTATTTTTAACTAAAAATTTGTTTTTAAATACTATACATACATACATAAATATAAGTAATATTTTAATAATTTAATGGTTTTAATGTGTATTTTAATTATTATATATATATATATATTTAATACAATATACTCTAAATATACTAACCTAGAAGTGTTGACACTTTCAATGCATAGGATCTGTCAGTTTGCCGGCACTGGACTTTATAGACATCACCGTACGTACCACTGCCTACAATATTATCATAGCTTATCTGATCTATAAATTGGTCGACTTTGGGCTCAACCGTACAATTTAACTCAACTTTCAGTGGTATATCGTTAACTAAAAATTGTAAGAAATAAAAAAAAATTTATAATTAATTTTTTTAAATTTATGTAAAAATTACAAACCGTTATCTTTATGATTATCCATTTGTTTCACTTTATTATTATTATTATTTTAGTTATTAAAAATGTTTTATCTGAAAGTTTATGAATATATTATATATATAAATTGGGGGCTTTGAGTATCTAAATTGTTTGGACAGTTATATACAAGTTATAACTTATATAAGTACTGTATGTTTATAAACAATTTATGTTTATTTATTTTACTATTTCTAAATATCAAATAGTGTTTTTAAATTATACAATAATTTAATACTAGTAATACTATATATATATTTAAATTTAAATAAATTAATATTAATAAACATTACAACACCGAAAAATAACATTTTAACTAAACATTAATTTCTAGTATCATATGTCACTAAACTTTTTTTAAAAAATCAATATCAGATATTCATTGTTTATTTAATAAATTATTAATTTTTAAATATTATATTATACTGTACAGTAAATTTATATATAGTATATATTATTTAAAGACAAATATAAATATAATATATAATTAATGATGACTAATATTTTGTTGTTTTTTTTTGTATAATATTTCATTTTATTTAATATAATATTTCCTATACAATAAATAAATCACATAAAATAAACAAATATCTATTGTTTTAATTAAAAATTTTTAATAATATTTGGTAATGAAATAATTATATACTAATATTTTAATAAACAAATTCATAAACTTATAGCATTAGATAATATTTTTTTTTAATTAATAATAATTGTACAAAAAATACATTATTTTCCGAAAATATTAAACTAATTTTTATTTATAGTATAAATTTATAGTAAAATGTTATTTAATTGATAGATAATTAATACAAATTAATTAATTCATTAAATGGTAGGTTTTTTATAATAGTAAACTATATTAAACTATTGTATATTTAAAGATACAATAATAATAATTACAATACATAAACATTTTAAATACTGTATTAATATAAATAATTAAATTATTTATTATCGGTAAACAATGGGTTCAACAGTTTAGACCATTTTTCAGTGGCCAACATATCGATGACCTGTCCGAGACTGGCGTATTGATCGAGTCCGGCCCTAACCAATAGGTTTTCCCATTTTGGCTGATCGGCTACAAACGGTGGTACCAATTGCTCGTAAATATGATCATAGTTGTTGGCCATCCATGTGGTTATAATGTCAAACTCTGGGATATTCCAGTTGTTGTAGTCGGCCAACACTTCCGTACAGTCGGGTCGGTCATTGGGTTCGGCGCTATTCATACGACACAACCACTGAAATACCTGTTTCATTGGTTCCTTACAGCAGACTTCAGGTGTAAGCTGAGTGGCATCTCTATGAAAGGGTATGTTATTTAATGTTAAACAATATATTAAACAAAATTTCATTTCAATTACTTAGCTTTCAATACATCCAAATCGATACCAAACAGTTTGGCCCCGACAATGGACAGACTGTAGACGTCTACCCGATGATCATAATCGAAACCACTGGCCACTTCGGGAGCACAATATAGTATACATCCACATACACCAGTGGTATGTTTCAAATTGTGACCATTACGGTAGTGATGAGTGGCTATACCGAAGCCAATAAGTTTGACACCAATTGAATTGCCATTAAATGCTATCATTAGGTTTTCGGGTCGGATATTTCGGTGAATGATTTGCGGCTCTAACACATGTATATGTTGTACGGCCTCCAGTATCTGTTTGAATAGTATAGCCGACAAATAAAACTCGTATTTACCGATTGGATCGCTCTCTCGGCGCCGACATATTTCGGGTTTACTATCCAATAGTTGATGCAAATTACCCGAACAATACTCCATAAGCAGAAACAATTGGTCGCCGATAATGCGGTGATCATAATAATTGGCCACATATTTTGATCGGGCATTTCTAATATACTCGATCTCATTGTCCCAAACACTACTATCTGTATCATCTGTTTTTTAAAACAAAATTAATAAATAGTTTATAAATATTAATAATTTAAAAAAAATTATACTATACTTTAATAATTTATTAAAATCAATGTTTTTAATGTATATTTATATTTTATTTATTATTATTATTATATATTCAATATATTTAATACAATATAATCTATACAAACCTAGATGTGGTACCACTTTCAGTGCATAGGATCTATCAGTTTGCCGGCACTTGACTTTATAGACATCACCGTACGTACCACTGCCTACAATATTATCATAGCTTATCTGATCCATAAATTGGTCGACTTTTGGTTCAACCGTACAATACAACACTTTCAGTGGAATATCGTTAACTAAAAAACAAAATTGTAAGAAATAAAAAAAATTAAAATTTAGTAAAAATTACAAACCGTTATGTTTATGATTATCCATTTGTTTTACTTTATTATTATTATTATTTTAGTTATTAAAAATGTTTTTTCTATAGTTTATGGATATCTAAATTGTTTGGATAGTTATATACAAGTTATAACTTATATAAGTACTGTATATTTATATACTATTTATGTTTATTTATTTTTAATAAAACTATTTCTAAATATCAAGTGGTGTTTTTAAATTATACAATAATTTAATACTAGTAATACTAAACTTATATTATAACTAAACTAAATTATATATATATATACTGTATATATATATATTTCAATTTAAATAAATTAATATTAATAAACATTTCAATTACAACAACAACAAACTTTTTAACTAAACATTTTTTTTGTATTAATTTCTAGTATCATATGTCACTAAACTTTTTTTTTTGTTATTAAATCATTCAAATCAATATTAGATATTCATTGTTTATTTAATAAATTATTAATTTTTAACTATTATAAAATATTATATATATTCAATATACGGTAGAGTAAATAAATTATCTTAATTTAAAATAGTTTAATACAATCATTGTATAAAACAAATATTTAACCAAAAATTAATTAAATAAATAAATAATTATCTAAAATAATACTAATGTTTAGATTGTAAATTCAATAATAAATATAATTATTAAATAATGTTTAAAAAAAACCAAATCATATTTTACTGTACAATATCTAATATCTATTATTGAATTACAAGTATACTATATATTATATTATATAATCAAAATTATATTTTAAATGTTGTTTTTTCGGTGATAATACTATTAGTATTATTATTATTATATAAACAATTTTTTTTCGATGACTACTTTTTTTAGTAGTTTATACTAATCATGAGTATTATATTTAAAACTATTATTTTTTGTTGTATTGTTATTGAAAACATAAATTCATCACAAATTTTTGTTGTTGTTGGATATTAGTTAACATTGTTTAGTTTTAGTCTACATTTACTTTAATGGCTTTAATTGTATGGCAAACACATAGGATGGGATGGGGTCTACACTATGGGCCCCCCCATATCCAAGAGTCTCGGGTTATGTGGTGTCGTATAATAACTGTATTGGTTTTGAAACTGCAATCACTTTTTCCTTTCAAAAAAAAAATTGGACTTAAATTACACATAAGATTAGTAGAAATATTTTTAATTATATTGTTTATATTATTATTAATATTATTAATAATTTATTATTATTTTTTACTTTAATTTTATTTATTTATTGTTTTTAATTAAATCATTAATTATGAAAAAAATAAGTTTTATTTTATAAATATATAATATCAGTAATATTGACTAAATATTATCTCATTTTTTTGTGTGTGACTATGTTTAATATTATAACAATAATTTTATACTTGAATATCCTATTGATATATATATATATATTATTAAATTTTCCAATAAATGTCTATTTGTTTTATATAATTATCAGGAACAGTTTGTCTAAAAGTTTAAGCTAAAATTTTTTTTTTTGAATTAATTAAAAAGTAAAGTTCAATTAAATGTTAATAGATTTTTATGTTGTATATTAAAATGATAAGTATATATATAATAATCATAAAATAGCATAAATTAAAAAATAATAATTATTATTATTATTATTATATATACAGTATATATACTTAAAAAATTTTAAATACAAATATTCATAATATTAATACATGAATCATATCAATGTTTTTAACAACAACAAAAACTAATCAAGATCAATTTGGTCGCCATATTTATTTTCATTGAATACCGCGTCCAACAGTTTAGACCATTTTTCTTCGGCCAACATATCGATGACCTGCTGTAGACTGGCGTGTCGGTCGAGTCCCGCCCTAACCAATATGTTTTGTTCGTTGGGCTGATCCGGTCGAGTTGGTGGCACCAATTTCTGGTAAATATGATTATAGTTGGCCATCCATGTGAACATTATGTCAGCCATCGAAAAGTTCCAGTTGTCATAATCGGCAACAATTTCTGAACACTCGGGCCGGTCATCCGGATCCGGGCTATGCATACGACACAACCAATAGTAGATCCGATTCAGTCGTTGCCGACAGAAGACACCCGGTCTAAGCTGATCGACATCACTGGTGTTGTCGGTAATTGTTAAAAACGTTTATCGGTAATGTTATTAAAATTATTTTTTAAAAAAAAATAAATGTTTCAATTACTTAGCATTCAATAGATGCAAATCGATAGCAAACAGTTCCGCACCGACAATCGCCAGACTATAGACATCTACCCGATGATCGTACTGTTGGCCAGTGGCCATTTCGGGTGCCATATATTTTGTTTGTTCCCCACCATCTTCGGCAGTATTATGTTGCCAATTATCGCCGCCGCGGTAGTGATAGGTGGCCAGACCGAAATCAATGAGTTTGGCGTATGAGTTTTCAAAGCCATTCAATTCAATCATTATGTTATCTGGTTTTAGATCACCATGGATGATTTGCGGGTCTAACCCGTGTATATGCTGTACAGCTTCGAGTATCAGCTTAAACATTGCACCCGTCATATAGTATTCAGGTTTACTTAGTGGATCACCCGATTGGCGCCTACATATACCCGGTTTAGCGTCCAATAGCTGGCATAGATTGCCGGCCGAATAGTCCATCAGCAAAAACAATTGGTTATCTTTGCTAACAATTCGGTGATCATAATATTTGGCCACATATTGTGAACATTTTTTATTATTGTCGCTAACATTCATTAGACAATCAATCTCTTTGTATAGCATACTATCGATATCATCGGCTATCATATAATAAAAAAAACAGTTAATAAATTGATAATAGTGTGTGTGTGTGTGTGTGTGTGTGTGTGTGTGTGTGTGTGTGTGTGTGTGTGTGTGTGTGTGTGTGTGTGTGTGTGTGTGTGTGTGTGTGTGTAGCTGTGTATATGTGTAGCTGTGTGTGTGTATGTGTATTACTATGATATACAGGTACGGTATATACTGTACTAACGTTCAAGTGTTACCACTTTCAATGCATAGGACTTTCCTGATTGCTTGGACTGGACTTTATAGACGACACCGAAGGCACCCCTGCCAACCATATGATCATCGTTTAGCTGATCCATAAATTGGTCGACTTTAGGCTGTTCTCTACACTGGCGTTGTCGTCGTTGATCATCATTATCATCATTAACTGTGTATATATGTGTTTGGTTTGTCATAAAAAAATTTTTTTTTAGTTAAAACTTAAATTAAAATAGTATTATTAAATTATAAATTATTTATTTATTTATTTTTTGATAATACAAACCGTTATGTTTATGTTGATGATCCATGTTTTTGTTGTATTAATAGTAATAAATTTTTGTTAAAATTAGTCTACAAAACAATATTAATTAATTAATTTTAAAATATTTTTTTTAATTTTATGTAATATTATACTTAAGGATATTTTCAATGTCCGAAATCGCCTAAATATTTTTATACACTAATAATACAGTAATTTATAAATATTTATATGAAATTATATATAATTTTATTTATTTATTATTATTATTATTTTTTGTACAGCATTTCACTTTATCTGATAATTTATTTGTCTAATCTTTTTATTGTTTTATTGGCTAATATTATATGTAATCTATAATGTTATGTCTAATTTAAAAACTATTCATATAAAGAGTTAAATTTTATTTACAGGATATATATATAAAAATATTAATATCAGTAATACTAGACTTATATTTTTTAAACTTATGTTTTTACAAAACATTACAAAACCTTTTTTTTAATATAATAACATATTATGTAATTAATGTAATATAATATATGTAAAACATTTTTTTATAATTAAGAAAAAAAATAAAATAATAAGTATTGTATTATTTTTTAGTAAATTATTTTTGAAAATAATAACATTTTTTAAAAAGAAAAAAATTCAATACAATCTACTAATAAAAATAATTGCGATTTTTTAAAAATTAATAATTGTTTTCATTTAAAAAACTGTAACTAATTAATTGACACACAATATATAGTATTATATACATTATTATCAATATTATAATTATTACAAATAATTAAAGTCTAGTCAAAATGCATGGGTCTATGGGGTCTCTCTCTCTCTCTCTCCGAGAGAGAGAGAGAGAGACCCCATATAAGACAGTATATACAGAATCTGTATAATACAGACTAAACAGTAGATATAATATACAGATTTTTTTGTTTCAATACAAGTTCAATAATAAATGCAATTTTTAGTAAAAAGTATTTTATTATTTATAATTATAACAAAAACTATTTGAGTATTTTATTAAAAAATTGTCTTTTTTTAAAAATAAGTAATTAATTTGAATACAAATTGTCAATAATAATAATAATAATAAATCTAATTAATAATTATGTTTTTTGTTTTGAAAATAAAAAAAAAGTACCGGTAATATAATTAATTAATTGATAACAAAAAAAATTAAAAATACTAATAATCCTAATAATCCTAACTTTAATAAACTAAACCTAAATAAAAACTATATATTTAAAAAAAACAGTTAAAGTGTTTTGTCGACCACTTTAGTAAAAAACTCTTTAGTATTTTCGTAGGCAACAAACAGAGCGCCGGTAGACGGAAACGTACGCAACAGTGTCGGCGTCAGTCCCTTATAGAGACCGCGTACGCCTTCCGTCCGGACAATTTTGACCAAAACCGCGGTCATTGTCTGCCGGCTGGACTCGATCTGGATGCGCGACTTTACCACATCAAACGGAAATATCGATGTCCACAAACACATACCGCCGATACCGCCGGCGATTGTTGTCTTCAATAGTCCTGTAAAGGAGGGGAGAGAGAGAGAAAACAATATGACATCAATTGTAAATCAAATCAACAAAAAAGAAAGTTTACCTAAATTTTCTTCATCCGGATCTGTTCGCAGATAGCTCTTTGCCAGCTCATAGCCGCCAAAGAAACAGAAATATCCGGGCATTTCGCGGGCCATTGTCGACGTCAGACCTCTGAACATACCGGGAACTCCTTCTGACTGAAGTATCTGTCGTGTCAACTGAATTGATCCACTGATCGGTCAATCGTTCAATCGGTCAGTCATTTTCATCAATCATTGATTTTTTGAGTTGTGTTTAGTGACAGGAAATTACAATTACCGATAAATAAATTTTTTTTTAAAAAACAAAACTAATTATTAACTAAATTATATGTTATTTTTCAAAACTTTCATTCATTTACATATGTGTTTGAACTCCCGTCTCCCGGAGCGCCTGTAGTTTACATTTGATGAGTTCCGTCGGACACAATGTAAACGATGAGAAAAAGGCGGCGAAAAACCCTTTTTATTAATATTGAAATAAAAAAAAAATTTTAACACAATATTATCATCAAAAATATAAACTCATTTGACTTTAATATCGTAAATGATATATAAAAATTACCGGCGAATGCGTTATCAATTGGTTGACAACTATTGGTTTGTCTGATCTGACAAATCATTTGCTGACAGAAACCGTAGGCACAGAATAGTACAGAATTTTCGGCTACATTTGCGGCCAATGCCGGCGTAGTTCCCGCGTATAGACCCCGCCAACCATCCTATCCAACAAACAAACAAACAAACAATATTAGCCATCAATCAATCAATCAATTAAGTTATTAGTTGATCACAAAATAAAAACCTTTGTGACGGTTTGTTTGAGACAATTGATGGTATTATTGTATAAATGTGGGAATGTCTGCATTTTCACTTTGATTGTGTCCAACGGCTGTCCGGTCAATACGTTGGCCACACCGCCTGCGATCACCGATCATCGGTAACAAACAAACAAATTGATTAATAAATTTTTTTTTTAATATTTGTTTGTAACTAAAAAAACAAAATAGTAATTTACCGGCTGATCCGGCCATCAGATCGACAAACCCGATGGCCAGTTGTCTGATAGGACTATCAGTTGATGTTGAGTAAGACATGTGTGTGTGTGTGTGTGTGTGTGTGGGTGTGTATGAAGTTTTTAACGGTAATACTGATAACACATACAATATATATGTTATATATGATATTGATTTGTAATGACTGTCCCGTCAAATGTTTGATTTTTTTTGTTTCCACTGTTTGTTTGTTAGATTTAGTTTTGTATCACTAATTGTAATCACATTATAATGTTATGTCAACCGATGGATGGTTGTGTTGAATGTAACCAATCAATCAAACAAACAATTTAATTAAATATTATGTAATAATAAACTCAAATAAATTATTATTATTATTATTAGTTTAAACTGTACTTATAATTATGATATTATATATATATTTGCTATATATATAAAATTAAACTTAAAAAATAAGTTTTTTTTCACTTAATTAAGTCCATCAGTCAAATGGTACTCAAAAAATACAGGTAAATGTATTAGTATTTTATTTTTTTAGTTACTATTGTATTACATTTCGAGTGCTATTAATAATTGTTTAATAAATTATTATTAATAAGATATTAATAATAATATTATAGTATTTTTTTGTTTGTTAAATGCACTTAAAATATTAAACTATAAAAACATATGATACTAATGTATAAGTATTACACACATATAAGTATAAAATTATTAACACATAAAAAATTAATATATGATAAATCAGATGATGAAAACATATGATATATTATAATATAGAGAAAAAAAACTTCATTTCATTGAAAGTCATTGAGAAAGTGAAAAATTTTTTTTTATATATATATAAATATATATATATTTATATTGAAAATTATTAATTGATATTTGATTTTTTCACTGATTAGTTTCACTGATTTTTTTTGAAGTGGTTTTCATTGGCACTGATTTTATTTTACAGACACACACACACAGTGTATATCTCAAAAAAAATTACAAAAACACGTGACTTATTGTAAATTTATTGATCAAAAAAATATATATTATTCATAAAATTGTAATTTTTATAATAATAATAAATAAATTATTATTATTATTATTATTAATCACACAATTTTTTTTAGTCAACAATTTTCATAATTAAGTGTAAATATCATATGATATTATTATTATTGCAATTTTGATAAATATTAGCATGCTAAAATTTACATTTAAAAATTTTTTTAAACACCAAACATGTGTTAATATTGCATAATACTGTATATGTTGTTGATGTTAAAAATATTTATTAATTTTTTATTTAAAAAATAATTTGTACTAGATGCCACTAGTAGTGTTTAGTTTTTAAAGTAACCAGCTCAATTTAACATAATTACTATTTATTATTATTATTATAGTAAAAATTAATTTAATGTGTTATATACCAATAATAATATTAATTAATAATTTAATAATAATAATTTAATTGAATATTATTATTATATATTGATTAATAATATTGATTAGAATTAAATATATATATATATAATATTTTGCATAAATGTATTTAATTAAAAAAAAATATTTTTTTTGTTATTTAATTATAAATTGTTTGATTATTTTATTTAAATATATATATATAATATTAAAAAACATTGACAGCCTTAATCTAGTTTTGTTTAAATATATTAATTTGCTATTCAAATAATTTTTTTTAAAAATATAAATAACTAATCGGTTACAATGACCTATTAATGTTAATCAATTTATTTATTTATTTTAAATTACAAAAATTTTATATTTAAAATACTTAAAACTTGTTTTTTAATAGTTTGTATCAAAACTTATAGCATTATATTATTTTTTTTTTTAATTTGTAAATACTTACCTTAAGTTATAAGCTTTTTAAATAACATTATTAAGTTTAAAAATAAAAATATCACACAATTAAAAAAAATCAATATTATATACTTATTTAAATAGATTTTTATTGAAAGTATTTTTTGTTTTGTTTTGTTTGATATAATAATAATATTATTAATAAATTATTACAAATAGCGCTAAATTTGTCTTAATTATAATAAATATTCAATAATAATAATAAATTCAATAATTATAAAATCATTTTACAATATACAAGTATATAATAATAATAATAATATATTATATTATTTGTTTGTCATTACTATAAAAAACACAGTTTTGTTTTCTATTAAATAAGTCATATTTAAATAATAATTATTATTTTTTTTAATTAAAAAATCAATTTTATATAATAATAATAAATTGAATATCAAATGAAATAAAAACCAATGAAATTGTCACATATTTCATGACTAGTAATACAACAATAATATTTAATACAAAAGTAAATAATGACAATAAAAACCGATAGTTTTATAAATAGATTTATCAAAAAAAAAATAATAATAAATAATTACAAATAAAAATTGCCTAAAATTTTTAATAATAAAATCTCATTTGAAAATTGTTTGTCATTTTTGTTTGCAAATAATGTTTAGAAAAAATGTTTTAATTTAAATTATATGTAATTTTTTTTTATAAACTGATAGTTAATTGTTTTTTTTAATGAATATATTACACACCAACAAAAAAAAGTAATCAAATAAACTAACGTATAAATAAAATAAAAATGTGAAAATAATTCAATGAAATTTAATAATAGTATATTAAATATAAATTTATATATAAAACAAACAAAATAATAGTGAAATGAATGAGAATTAAAAATAAAGATGAAAAATACGGTAATATAATAATAATTAGTTATTAATAATAATAACTATTTTTTTTTAATAACTTATAAGTTTTAATCACATATTTTCATGCATTGGTTGGCCAATTGAGTGACTTATTTATATATATATATATATATATATATATAGGGTTTATGGTCTCATAATTAGCAATCATTTAATCATTTAATTAAATATTATAAAAACATGCATACCTTTAAAAAAAGGTTAAATTACTAAATCAAACAATTATTATTTTTTTGAATTATTATTATTATTATTTAAATCAATTGTAGCACTCGACTAGACTTTTGTTATTTTTTTAAAAATATTAATAATATATAATATTAATAAATCTCTCAATGTGTCTGACAATTGATTTACTTATTTTTTTGTTATATAAAAATTCAATATATATATACTGTATATATATATAAAAAATTTAATGAAACTTATATAAGTATTACTATGAAATATGTCGCAAAAAATTTGTCAATTAATTACTCATTTGTTGGATTTTTTATGTGTAAAAAATTTTTGTTTCTCTCTCTCTCTCTAAATATATATACAATTTTTTTTAAAAATAAAATCCAAATAAAAAATGTAAATAAAATTATTTAAGTAATCAAATACTTATAAATACCTGTATATATATATATACTGTATATATTTTTTTTTAAAAAAACTTCAATTAATTGCCACACAATTTGTTTGGCACCCAATGTGTACTTAACATACGGTAATAACTTAATAATCATAATAATAATAATCATATAAAAGTTTTGTATATTTGTATACAATATTTCAAAATTGATATACAAATCATATATTAAATTAAATTATAATAATATTTCTTTTTTTTAACTTTTAAATTATTAAAAACAAACCCTATCTCTGAACTAAATTAATAATATCTCTTAACGTATTCTGAATGTCAGTTAATGACCGATTGGTGGCCAACAAGTTGTTTGTCTTTAATTGATCACAATTTTGGTCAAATTTGGTTAACAATTCGCGAAATTTGAACCTCTGCTGCGGCGGTATGTCTTCCGAGTATTGTTTGCACGACTGTCGAAACAGTTGTATTTTGTCGGTCAACTGCATTATCGATTGCGACGTCTGAGCCGATGGTATCGTTGTCGGAGACGATTGGCACGACTTGAGTGACGATATCGACCTTTCGATGGCACCGGAAATCTCCAAAATGGACGACCGGTCGCACGGGTTGACTGTTTTGCTGCTCGAAATCGACTTCTTGTCTACCGATTTGAGCACCAATTTAGAGCCGCTGTTGTTCTCGCAATGGCTGCCGCTGTCCATCGATTGGGACTTTGATTTCAATAGTTTATGAATGCCAACAGTTGTTCCCGACTGAGGCAATGCCCGCTGCGAACCGCCCGAAGACGATGTTAATTGAGGCTTATTTGGTAGTCTTAAGAGAGAAATAATAACAAATGTTAATCACAAAAAAATCATGTGTTTTGTATGACAACAACAACAACAATACGCACGAAGGCTTGAGAAATGAATGATTGGCCGACGACTGATGATTGTCCTCCAGTTCTTCGTTAATTTTGAACACAATATTGTCAGCTGACGCGCTATTATCGGATCGGCGCAGACTTTTCAAGACATCGGCCGATCTTTTGACATGAATTTTCGGACTATTTGTCGTCGAAGATGTGGTGGTGTTGGTCGTCGTCGTTGTCTTGTGAGTCGTGGTAGTCGATGTCGATGATGTGATATGAGTACTACTATTATTATCAATGGATTTGTTGTTGTTTGTCGTCGTCGTCTCAATGTTGCCATCAGTAGTGCTATTGTTATTCAAATTATTGCTATTATTGTTAATGGCCTGCGATTCCCATAACTTCTTCAGACTCGTTATACTACTCGACGAATGGCGTTTGCTTTCGTCGTCGGCGTCGTAACCGCTGGTCGCCGACGGCTGCGAAGGAGGAGTAGGCGGTGGCGGCGACAACTTTGCCGTCAACTGCTGCAGCTGTTTTGATTGACTACTACTATCACTGGTGGTGGTGGCGGCGGCCATGTGGCCAACATTTTTCGGGCCACCGTTTGTTGAGCTAATCGGATTTGACTTATTGACAACACATTTGTTGTCATTAATATTATTACTAATATTAAAATTAGTATTAATATTATTAATATTATTATTCTTATTAATATTCAATCGGTATTTATTGTCACCACTCTTGTCGTTGTTCTTGTCTTCATTAGATTTGATCGTTTCGATGGGTTTTTGCGGTGTCTTCTTCAGTACGGGGGTTACGTATTCGGCAACAATTGAATTGCGCGACTGTGGCGGTACTGGCGGTGCCGGCGCCGGATAATCGGGACCCGGTTTCGATTGGAATCGCCTTAAGAATGATTTTGACGATTGTTTTTGATTTGAACTGTTATTGATAACTGATTTCACAGCACTATTACTACTACTACTATTACAAGGCGTGCCATTGTTAGCACCACCACTGCCGCCGCCGCCGATGACAACAGTTGTGGTCGCGTGAATCTCTTGCTGTTGCGTTGATATCTTTGATGACTTGAGATGACTATCGATCTTATTGTTCGTCGTCGTCGTTGTCGTCGGCATCTCTGTCTGTTGGCGTTTCTTTTGAGCCTTCATTTTGAAACTCTCGAACAGTTCAGAGACAAGTTGTGCGGCGGGACTCTTGTGGTCATTTAAATTCTGAGCTCCGGCGGCCAGTCTCGGGCCGATTGTCGTCGTCGTCGATAAGTCACTTGAATTGCATTTTGATTTCGTCTCATTAGTAGTACCGGTAGTAATCGTCACTCGATTACTATCCACCGCTTTGTTGGTAATGTTGTTGTTGTCTTTATAGTCATCGTCGTCGTCATCATTGGGCAGTGTGTCGAGCGGTGGCGGCGGAAACTCGTCGTCCTCTTCGTCAATAAGCTGATCGTGACTACTGATCTCAGCCTTTGTAGACGAATGCTGGGGACTCGAGTTGGTCGATTGGGAACGGGAGGCCGCCTGTGACGACGTTTGCGGCGAGTGAACAGTGTGGGCGGCGGCGGCGGTTGTGTGGCCCAAGTGTTCGGGACTGGGAGTGCCGACACTGTTGGTGGCGGCGATAGTATATTGTTGTTGTAGTTGATGTTGGTTGTTCATATTGTGATCGCAATAGTCGAACGAACTGCTTCGGGTCATTCCGAGACCGGGCGGCGGACTGGGCGGTCGGTCTTTGGGTCGGTGTTGCTTTTTAAGCGTACGCCGTATTGCACTCGAACCGAACGGTGCCGGCGGTGACGGAAGTTCCGTTTGTGGCTCGTAATTATCACCATTGCGTCGGACACCACCGCCACCAAAGTGTAGTTTATTATTATTATTATTATTGCCGTTCATTTCATTGTTGGCCAAAAGCAACGGTAGAGTTGACTTCGGACTCTTTCGACTCTGAGAACTGTTTCGTTGAGTATTGCGCGGCAATCGAGGAGAGGCTACCGGTTTTGAGGTCAAATGTTTCGACGATTGTTTGCTGTTAAGATTGGCGGTAACGGCGCCGCCACCACCAGCCGTCGTCACGTGTCTGTCAAGCATCATAACATCGGCTTCGCACAGGTCGGCCACCGGTCTCGAGTGCGTCAGATCCGACTTCTGTCGCTGAAGATAACCTCTGAACGAGTAGCGGGCGTTTTCATCGGCGTATCGATTGTCCTTGGATTTGCTGCGATTTTTCGACATGTGTCGGCCAATAGTGGCCACTGCTATGCTGGGTTCGGCGCCGACCGAAAAGTCTACCGGCGACATGAGGTCCGAGTCGAGTGCGTTTTCGTTGACCGCATCCAACTGCAACAACTGTCCATCCGGTTGAGTGTGCCGAAGCGATTCCAGGTAAGCGCCAATTCGGGCACCTTTCGGCATTGTTCCGTAACGGTTGATGGCTCGCTTAACATTGTGCACTTCCAGACTGGCCACCTGAACCTTCCGATGACTACCATCGTCTTCGGCTCGTCTCCGTTGACCACTTTTCGACTTTTTCGTTCGGGTCGACGCCCTGTTACGGTTGTGAAACTCTTCTAACGTTTGCAGACAATTGTCGGCTTCCATGGCCAACATTTGTTCGTCAAAACGCAACTCTTGACTCAACGACTCGAACACCTTTTCGATGCCATTCATCGTTTCACGCGCGCCCTCCAGTATCTCGTCGTCGCCGAGCGGTTGATCCTGATATGTCGAATCACGAAAACTAGACGTCCGTTTCGGCGGAATCGGTGCTTGTTTCGACTTGACTTGACCACCACCACCGCCCCCACTACCACTGCTTGTTGCGCCACCGCCGCCGCGACGCAACTGAACAACAGTCGATTTAGTTGATATGATTCCCGTCGGCTTCGAGCCCTGACTGGCCCACATGTGCTGTTCGGGCATCATGTCGGCGGTAGGAGTTGTGGCCACTGGAACGTTCGATGCGGGACCAGTGGCCAGTTGATGTAAGTTCGGCGAACTGCCCGTCAATTGTTGTTGCGACTGTTTTTTGCTCGGTGTTTGTCTTTCGAGTTGCCGCTCGACCTCTTCGGTAATCGATGAATTCTGGAATACATTTTCCAGTGCGTGATGTATATCGCGAAACGTTGGTCTTTCGGCCGGTTCCCATAGCCAACATCGTCGCATCAGTTCGTAGATTCGCGGCGGACAACCGGGCGGACATTCCATACGATAACCCGATTCGAGCATATGGTAGACATCGGTCAACTCGACTCCGGGATACGGCGACATACCGTAGGTGGCAATCTCCCAGAGCAGTACACCGAACGCCCAGACATCTGATTTTGTACTGAACTTGTTGTAGGCCAGACCCTCTGGCGCTGTCCATTTGATCGGAAATTTGGCGCCCGCGTGAGCCGTATATGTATCGTCGCCCATCAATCGGGCCAAACCAAAATCGGCAACCTTAACCAAATGGCTTTCGGCTACCAGACAGTTTCGGGCGGCCAGATCGCGATGAATAAAATTGCGTGCCTCCAGATAGGCCATGGCGGCGGCCACCTGTGTGGCCATATACATCAGTACTACGGCCGATATTTCGTTCGGGTTGGCGTTACGCAAAAAGTCCAACAGATTGCCATTACTCATGAATTCGGTGATTATGTAAAACGGCGGCTCACGAGTACAGACACCCAACAGCTGTACCAGATTCGGGTGTTTCATCTCCTTCATAATGGCCGCCTCTTCCAGAAAATCTTTCAAAGCCATAGTATCTTCTTTGAGCGTCTTGACGGCAACGGTCATGTTGTAGCGTTTCCAGTGGGCTTCGTAAACATCGCCGTACTGGCCACCGCCCAACTTATGTTTCATAACAATGTCCGTACGATCAACTTCCCATTCGTCCGGTTCGGGACTCAGGGCAAACACTGTCGGCTTATTGCGTTTGGGTGCCGGATACAGAAGCATCGTAATCAGACCGTCCGAATTGGTACTGTGATGATGAACCAGTTCGGCTAGTGTATTGAACCGACACTCGCTGGTCACGTACACCGAACCTTCGTTGTCTTCGCTTATACGATAGTGATAGACTCGGCCTTCGTAACGCAAAGATATCGATCGTTGGCCAGGACTTGATTCCGATTCTCTGACCAGAAACGAACCGTTAATGCCCGAACTGAGCAAATATTCGGCCGTATTGCGTGAAATGGGTCCGTGATACCAACTGTGCTTTTCGAGACTGTTCACCGGTGTTATATAGTTGGACGGCACCCAACCTACTTGGCCCGATCGGGACTGGGCTTCGCACCATTCGCCCGATCGATTGTACGACAGTACCCGAACTTGTTCTCCTATAATATGCAAAAACAAACAAACAAAATATAATAATAATAATAATTACTATTTAATGAGTGTTAAGACCTAATTATTATTATTATTTATAATTAATATATTATTTGTAGCTTTTTTTTAATTGTAAAGGAAAAACATTTATAAGTAGTTTTTATAACAATTATTATTTAGTAATAATTAAAAAATAATAATAACTAACAACAACAGCAAAAAATAAAATGAAAAAATATATTTTATATGAAATAAATCTTTTGGTGTTTTTTTGGTGTTTTCTATTTTATACATAAAGTTTTAATAATAGATGACATAAATTGATAATACGGTAGAAATATTGTATATAAATATATATAAATAATATATATAATAAAAACAAGTGCTTCAAAACATTTATTATTATTATTAGTATTTTTTATGAATAAAAGAGGAGAGAAATAAAATCCCTTTTTAATAATAATAATAATATAAAAATACTGAATTATTATTATTATTTAAGTTTTTAAAAAATCATTGGGAAAAAGTCAATGCATTTAAGCGTAACATTAAAAATGTATATATATTTACTGTATATATAAAATTGCCATCAATTATATATTATCATACATTGTATGTTCACTTTTTTAAAAACAAGTTTATAATAAATACATACATATTATATATAATATACACAGAAAACACTCAATAATATTATATAACATCATTAATAATTTGTGTGAAAATGTCTGAAAAATATATACACTATTTTTTGTTTGTTTGTTAGCAATATTAATGTCAAAAAAATTATTTAGTTATATCTTTTTATTGTTATCAACAACAACAACAACAAAAATAAATTTTGTCTGCAAATACAGATAGAGAGAGAGAGAGAGAGAGAGAGAGAGAGAGAGAGAGAGAAATAAAAATTAAATATCAATTGTTAATATAAAAAGTCAATAAACAATAGTCACATAATATTAATAAAAACCAGTATTTACTAAAATGCTGTCATTAAATCATATACGCTTATAATCACTTAAATATATATATATTTAATATTAAATACATTGTTTCAATAAATTTTTATATATATATATTTATATACTATATATATATACAGTATAAACACATAATAATAAATAATAATAGCCTATTTACCGGTAAAATGTTTGCTAGGTTATTATACCCTGAGTATTTAATCGGTTTATTTTTTTTAATAATTTTTTTTAAACAAAAATATATATATAATCTAAATCACTATTTAAACCGGTATTTTGATGGCATGTCTACACCTATATTTAAAAACTACATAATCTTTTAAAATAATCTAATTTTTTTATATTAAACTATAAAAACTCAGAGATTTAATCTAAAATTTTTAAAAAAATATATAATATAAAAAAACAATGATTAATATTATCGCATAATTGTTTTCCTACTAATTTGATAAGATTAATATTGAAATTATTTTTAAAAATTATAATTTGCATTTACATGATAATAAATTTAATATGCTAAAAATACAGTAATAATAATAATAATAATAATAAAAACAATTAAATTCCTAGAAAATTAACCAAGGTTAAACAATTTAAGACACACACATAAACACATTAACAGCTTTAATGTATGTCTAATAAAATGAAATTATTATTATTATTATTGCATACTATATGTAGAAAAATACCAAACTATATAAGTCATAAATATACTTAAATATATTTTTTTTTAAAATTTCACATTGCTAATTTTTAGTGAAATTTTTAGAAAACTATATTATTATTATTAGGATATTATTTCAAAATAGAAATTATTAAATTTTCAAACGAAAAAAAATCAATTATTTTGTTATCGTTTTTTTAATAGATATTTCATAGCAATAATTGTTAATTTATATTATCTTATTATTATTATTATCTAAATATTACAGGTATTACACTATTATTATTAATAAAAAAAAACTGTTAAAACACGAAATGTTTGCTTAGATATAATTATAAAAAAAATAGTGAAAATCAAATTATTAGATAATAATAATAATGATAATATCTGTATAATATGCGATTAAATAAATATAACAAATTTATTATTATTATTATCAAAAAAAACTCAAATCTATAGAATAAAATCAATAATTGAATTACAAAAAGTTATATTAATGTTACAGGAAATTTGTCGAAAAAATTAATTGCATTGACATTTATATATAGTATTTATAAACATATTTATATATATATTTATATCAATAGATTAAATCAATTACCGGGTATAAAAACAACAACAAAAAAGTTAACCATAACAAATCATATTTATAAATAAATATAATTTACTAATCATTTATAACTTAAGTTATAACAACAACAACAAAAAATATTAAAATAAAATAAAACTTAACGATAAAACTTTGGTAATTATCAATCAAACAAATAAACAAAAAAATAATAAACAATTACCGTAACTATCAAAAAAAAAAAAAAACAATAGACACTCAAATAAAATTGTATAAAACTATTATATAATATTTAAATCATTAATACTAATACCATAAGACATCTCTCTCTCTCTCTAACACTATCTAATGGTACGGTACGGCTCTAAATACCTAACTGTGCGGAACCCTCTTAAATGGTTATCCTCTTTAAATCTATTGTGAAAATATTATTAGTAAACAAAAACAAACAAACCTTTTCTTAATGACAATTGATTTTCGCCGCCGCTGTGAAACTCATATAAGGCAACAAACAGCTGAGGATCTAATGGTTCGTCCGATTGGGACAACAGGTTCTCTTTGGACATCCATCGCTGCGGTGGTGGCATCGTCTCCATAGAGCCGCCGCCACCACCACCACCAGTACCACTGCCGCTCTGACCTCCTCCTCCTCCTCCTCCTCCCGACGCCATCGTTGGCGAGTCATCCGTAACGCTAGTGTGCAACTGGCCGCCCGAGTTGACCGACGATCCGGCCGAGTGGTCAGGTATATCAGGCAACGGCCGGTTTTGCAGTAGGGCTTCTGCAAGTTGTGGGACACAAACAAAACAAAAACAATTATCAATTGATTTATATTAGTAATCATTATTAGATCCATCAATCTTTGAGGTCATCAATCCATTGAAGATCTAAAAAAACCCTAACCACTAATACTAATGGTCATTATCATCATCGGTTACCGCCGTAGCCAATCATCATATGGTTTGAATATGGCTACCGAAAAAAACTTGATGATTGATGGACCCATTGATTGATCTGATCAGATGATAATCATCATCATCGGTATACTTGCCATTGTGTTCGATAAAGATATTGTGGCCAAACTTGTGCCGCTGTTTATTCGACTGTTTGATACCCGAAATGGTCGCTATTCGGGTAACATTCGGATTGATATTCGGATTAATACCGTACGCCTGTTGGATCAGCTGCTGCTGCAGCTGTTGTTGCAGTGAATTGCCATTTTGCAGACCAATCGGCCGCAACTGATCTTTGGTACTTTGGGCTCCCATTTGAAACCCGACGACCAAAAAAAAATATCGTCGGGTAAGACAACAACTGTCACTTAAAAAAAAAAAACACGGGAACTGTTGCTCACATCCAACAGACAGACAGACAGACAGTCAGTTAGGATGTCATCCAATTGGGTCACACAATCACAGACAGACAGACAGTTCAAACACTCGTGTCTTCAGCGATGTGTTATGTCTTCAATGATGTCTTCAATGTGTTGTTGTTGTTATTGTAGTCCATCTTATAGTCAATTGATAAGTGAAAAGTCAAACACTGTTTTTCAATACATATATTTTGTTCACTCAATAAACGATAGGATATTACTGTATATTGTTGTGTGTATTATAAGCACAAATGTATTGAAGGGAGAAAAAAAAAATATGAGTCAATCAATGGGTTGACTAACACTACAGTAGTCTAACAGTCGACTAAAACGACTACTACTACTGCGCACAACCCATACCTGTGCGCTGACTAACTATATGTTAAGCTAACCGTTCCCTTCAGATGGCTATCTCAACAACACTTTAATACTGTACATAGCTTTACATATATACATACAGTTGTATATTAGTCATTAGTCATCAATCATTTAGTGGGCGCCCACCAGACGGGGGTTTTTTGGGGTTTTTTTTAAATATATATATAAAAAGTGATTATTTTTTTTGTTTGTTTTTATAAATATTTTAAAACTTTTTTTTTTTTTTTTTAAATACAAGTTTTGTTACATTTTTTTGTTGTTGTATTAACTAATAGTAATATAATGTTTTTTTTTGTTTTGTTTAACCAATAGTTAACTAAAAAGTATTAAATTAATAGTTTGTTAAAACTTTATTACAATTACAAGTTATAATTAAATGTAATTTAATTTTAATAAATATTTATTTATTATTATTACTTTTTTAATTATTTATAAATACATTATTTTTATTTATTTATAACAAAAAAAATAATTATATATATGATTATAAAATTAATTATAATTAAATAAATAAATAAAAAAAAGTTATGATTTTTTATTTTTAATAATACCGGTAATTATTATTATTAATGATAACAATAGTAATAATAATAATAACAATGAAATCAATGGATGAAATCAAATAGACATTTGTTTTTTCGGGTGATTACCCGACGGGAGATGATTACCGTTTGCCGGTAAACGTTTGTTCGGCCAACTGTTGACTGCGGGCCAGATGCTGGTGTTTCGGTATATGTTCGAGCGATTCAATAAAGTTGACAATCGTCAGCGTAGTATCCAATTGGCCAGAATTGATCCAAATATTGCCGTTCATACCGATTGCCGTCTCGAACTTGAATCGTTTGCCCAGTGTTTTCAGTATTGGCGAATCGGGTGCCAACAATTGGCGACAAATATCGGTAGCCACTGTCAACACGTAGCCAGTATTCGGTAGTACACCTAAACCGCCTTTTTTGCCGTCGCTGGTCACGCATACCAGTTCGGCTTCGACGTACGGACAGTCGGTAATCACTTGAGCGTATACGGCATCGCCGACCTATGGCCAGCGGGTGTAAGATAATAGAAATAATTAGTTGTCATAATTTTTGTGGACAATTGGCTTTTTTACCTCAATCGGCGGTTTGTTGCGTTTGGTAGCGTTGGGAAAGGCCAACAACGACAGTACGGCCACTTCGTTTGAACGGATGTCCACTTTGCACTGGTAGGCCTGTTTGCTGGTCACAAAGCCGACAATACGGTCACCTTTGGACGGCGTGTATCGTTTGAAGTGCGAGTCCAACCAAAAGGCACGATTGTTTCGGTTAATCAATTGGCCACATTTGACGGCCATTATCCGTGAGTTGGGTTCGCGTTTCAATCCCGGACCGACCATTACTTGGCCGCCGCCGCTGACGCCGGTACTGGTGTCCACGTTATATTTGGCAATTATCGGCGTAATGTCTTCGCCCGGTAATACAATCAACGTATCGGCCTTAGTGGTGATGGTGGTGGCCATTGAATCGATGTTTCGGTAGTTATAATCGGTTACAATTTGTGGCCAAAATGTGTTTACAATGACTGCAATAAATATTTATATATCACATGTGCTTATGTTATGAACAGTTTGTTTAGTGTTTTAAAGTTAAATACATTTTCAATACATATTAATATCCAGTAATAGGTTTTACAATACATTATTTGAATGCCATTTACATTCAAAAATAAAGTCAAATACATTATAACATTAATAACGCTATGATTTTTGTTGTTATATTTATTTTGTATATAATTGCTATTAATTTTGTTGATTTTTTTTAAAAAATAAATAATAATAATATATTTATATCCAATTAATCTTTTATTTATAAATATATAATTATTTTGTTGAAATGTTAAAATTAAATTAATAAATAAATAAAAAATAAAAAAATAAAATTATTATCACCAAAAAATACATTATTGTTATTAAACACCAATAGATGGCATATAAGTTATTATAACTTTTAATATAATTTTTGTTTATATACTGTATATATGTAAAGTACAGTTTATATTTAGTTTTTTTTACCAATATTTTTGATATATTTTTTGTAATTATTATTTGTTTGCATAATTTTTATTAACTATTTGTTAGATAACAAATATATATTGAATTTTTTAAACAACAAAAAATAAAATAATATTTATTAATTATTATTTGCAATAAGTTTATATCTAATAAGTTTCAAATGCAATACATGTATATAACTCCCAAAAGCCACTTCACTGCATAACAAGTTATTTATTTATTTATCTATTTTTTGGGATAAATTTTTAATAAAGTTTTTTTTTATTATTTCAAATTGAATGCTAAATAAATAATTATTTTATTACTAGTATTATTCGTATAGTATTAAATAAGACAATTATTTTTGTATTTTAAGAAAAAGTTATAGTTGTTTAAGACATGTAATTATAATATGTATGTGTGTATATGTGTGTATAAATGTGTGTATGTATGTATGTGTGTTTGTGTGTGTGATAGAGATAGATAGATAGATAGATAGATAGATAGAGAGAGAGAGAGAGAGAGAGAGAGAGAGAGAGAGAGGATTATTTTGTTTTTTATTTTTGGCCATTAGTTTTTTATGCGATATATAAATTATATATATATATCTACAGTGTGTATCAACTAAAACAACAACAAAAAATGCAATAATTTGGATGAAAATGTCTAAAAAGTTTGGTAAAGGTCATCACCAACAAAATTATAGTAAATATAATATAATTTATAATTTATAAATATATATTCCGTTTATATATTGTATATAAAAACTTATATATATATATATATATATATATATTATAACTTATATAAATTTTTATAAAATAATATTATATTATATTTTCCATTTATATCCCTATAAATAGATATAACATTATTTGTAACAGTTTTTTAAAAATCTCTAAATAAATAATATTTTTTATATATACACATGTATTAATGTTTACTTTATATAACACTAAATAATTTTTAGATATTTTATAAACAATTTTAATATATGTATTAAATTAATTTAAGCAAAATAATTTTAACTGCAAACAAAACATTATATTTTATTATTGTTTTTTTTAATAATATTATTTATAAATAAAAGCTCTATAAATATTTATAATTTATTTTCAAAATATCATACAATTTTTTTTTCAATTAAATATTGTATTTTAAATAAATCATTAATTACTTAAACAAATAAAATTTTTAAACTTAAGATTAACTAAGTTTATATATTATATAAACATTAAAAATTTTATACTTAAACTTAACATTACAAATTACAAATTAATTTATTTTATTAACATAAACTTAAAAATATTATACAGAAAAATTAGTTTTTTTTTTAATAATCACTATTAAGTTTTTTTTAAAATTTATTTAAAAATCTGATTTGTTTATATAAAATGTATTTATAATGAGTTTGACTATCAAAATATAAATTTGTTTTTTTTCATATAAATGATAAACATTATTATTATTATTATAAACTCAATACTGTATTAATAATAATAATAATAATAATAATAATAATAATAATAACACACATACAGTATTTCATAGACAATCACTTTCAAAAACGTACATATAATTTGTTTATCAATCAATCAATCAACAACAAAAAACACATCAAACAAATTTTTTATATATATATAATTAAAATTGATTTTTTTGTTGGTGTGTAATATTACTAAACATAATTTTATTAATAATTTATTAATTTTTTTAAATAATAATAATAATGTGTGATTTGTTTGATTAAGTTAATAAAAAAAAACAGTGTCTCTGCAAACATTAATATATATATAATATTATTATGAATTACTATTATAAATATTTATTTATTTTTGTTGTTGTTGTTGTAATAAATTTTGTTTGTTTTTTGTTTGTTTTAATATACAGTATATACGATATATATATATTAATAAACTTTGATAAAATTTGATATTAAAGTTTCTATGGTTAGACATAATCCAATCAAATCTATTGTTTTTTAAATGTTATAAATCAATGTTTAATTAATAACAATCTAATATTGACTTATTTTTTATCAATTTTATATTGTTGTTATGTTAAATTTAATTACTTTTTTTAGGCACAATTTATTTTATTTTTTTCAAGTATTAATAATATTGTAGTTTACTATATGTGTGTATAAACATTCAATCAATCAATTATATATAATCAGTATAATTTTTTTTCACTCATAGTATAATAATGATATAATTTATCTTCATTAAAAACTATTAATATAATAATTTATATTTATAATATATATATAAATTTATATATATATATATATATATATATATATATATATAAAATCTACAAATAATGTTTGTGTGTGTATATATAATTTATAATATAAACCATATATAATATACAGTATATATATATGGTATATAATTTAAGTGTAAAAATCAATACTAAATACAGAGATAAAATAATTCATTACATAACATGAAAATTATTTTTTTTTGACATTTTATATTAGATATCTTATGTCAATGAAAATTATATAATATATATATATATATACGTTATATAACAATATATAAATAATAATTATTATTAAATGTTAATTTAATGTTCAATAGTTTAAAGTTTCATTTAATACTTTAATACATAGGCGCGCAAACAAATGTCATTACTATTGAATGAAAAAAAAATATTTAATAATTTTAATGCAAATTTAACCTTTAAAACAAAATTATTCAAAGAAAAAAACATTAAAATAAAATATCATAAAATATTAAATAATAAATTAGATTAATATGTTAATAATTTGATAAATAGCAAAAAATAATTTTTAAGTAAACCCATAAATTTATCATATTATAAACAATGAGATAAATAGAGAAAAAATCAATAAAATTTATGTATAAAATAATAATAATAATAATAACATTAGCAATAATATTATTATTTATATTGAATATTCACACTGATTGTTATAATATATTAATATAAATACTATTAATATATATAACAATAACGATAATAATAATAAATATAAAAAACACAAATAAAACTAACAATAAGTAACAATAAGTAATAAAAAATTAATTGTGCGTAATGTTAATTGTTTGGTGAAATTACTTTACTTTATATTATAATTTATCTAATAGTTTACATAAGTTATTGTATGTGTGTTTTTGTATGTTTTTTTTATTATCATATTAATATTTAAACTGAAAAAAAACAAATATTTATCTAAACTATCGATAAAACTGATAATTTAGAGAAATGAATATAAATTTAAAACATTTAAAAAAACATAATTACTTAATATTAATATATATTATATATATAGTATAAATGAGAATCAGTGTATAAAAAAAATTATACCAACAATTTGTTTGTTTGATTATAATTTTAGACAACAGTGCCACCAATTTTATCATCGCTTATAACAATTTTGACGCCATTGACATCACCACCACTACTACTACTACCGCCGCCGCCGATATCATCCATGCCTACGGCTAGTAGACTGTCCACTACGGCTCCCAATGTTAACGATGTTGGTGTGGATGCTGACTGTAATTGTTGTTGTCCCGATGTTGTAGACAGATCACCAATGGCCTGACCACCGCCACCACCGTTATCGGGACTGTCGGGACTGTTGGGTGTGTGCGTATCGACCGTATCGATGATTACGTCGATGCCGTGATGCTGATGATGATGATGCTGCTGATGCAATGTCGGTGTCAACTCATTGGTCACGGCTGCCGTGTTGGCCGCCGATGTGTTGGCCGATTGCGAGCTTCGGGACCGTTTCATACCCGACTTGGAGCGCATGGAGTTTCCGCGCGACATAAACACCTTTTTGCTGTTTATGGGACTCGGCTTTATTATGAAGCTATTATTGTTTGTTTGTTTTTTTTTGGATAATAATAATAATAATTTATAAATTATTTTATTTTTATTATTGATTATTATTGTATTCATCAATACATACATCATATCTCCTTCTTCGAGCTTAAGATCACAGTTTGGATTAATTATAACATACGAGAGATTACTCCTCTTTTCAGAGCAATTGTCTGTTTAATAACAATAATAAAAAAAATTGATATAATATTTCATGTCATTAATCAATATTATTGAACATCTATTTAATACTCTAACTGTAATAATCAGATAATTTTTTTTGTGTATTATAATAAATATTTTATGATTGTTTTGAGATTTTTCTTTATTATTATTATCGGATCTAATAATAATCGTATTATAAATACTAGTAATAATATTCAATGTTTTTTCAACTAATAGTAATAGTAATGATAAATAATAAAATACTTTACCATAATCTTCGTGAGGCATTCCCATGTCTTGAAGTCGATTGCGGACCAAATTAGTGATCTCTTGGCGCTCGACTTCGGCACTGAGTTGTTGAAAGTTTGTTTGTTCGCTCAGAGGAAACACAAAATCATAGGATATTTGGACACCCTTTTTGGTTGGTTTGCAAACAAAATATACAAAAATAAATATTAATTAAAACTATGAGTTCCGCCTACCCCTACCATACCCTCCCCATCCACACACACATAAATACATACACACACATACACACACACAAATACATACATACACACATATATATATAAATAATATATATGTGTGTGAGTGTATATGTGCGTGTATATATATAATATATACACACATACACACAGTCACTCACTCACTCACATATACATACACACTCACACACATACACACACTCACTCGCACACAGACACATACATACACACACACACAAAACTTACGGGAAATAGAGTATCGGGACTTTGAGTGGTCTGTGTCCTGTAGATGCCGATCGGTATCTCGCAAGTTGTCGAACACAATCGCTGATACAGTCGACCGTAGGTCCGGATCCACAGATCATCTTTGGTTATACGTATGGACGATAGGAAGCCTGAACCGGGCGCCTGGTCGATGCCCAACAGCAAACGGACAACAGTGATCATATAGTCTTTGACAAAGGCCTGGTAGAGCAGTGTGTCCAACATTGAGGCACTGAACACATTGCCGGCGGCGAATGGAAGCCTAAACATGTATGATATGTGCGATCCGCGCTCCCGTTCCATCTGTTGGTAGGTGGGTGCCAATCATTAAAAATGTATGATTATATATAGTAAGTTTCAAACATACCTTTTCCATCTTGGACAGGGATAGGGCGTAGGCGTCGTGAGCCCTGAACGTCATGAATCGCATGTTACTCGATTGGGACAGTTCGGTAATCATGCGGGCCGACGGAAACATTTTGAACATTGTCTGTACGGCCACAATAGTATTACAGTCGGCCAGATAGTCTTCTTCGGCCGAATTGGTCGACTCTTTGTTGACCACGACTACCGAATCGGCCAGATTGATGCCGGCCCGGATCAGGTCGTCCAGACTATTATTATTATTGTTATAATACAAATGTAATTATTATTATTATTATTATTAGGATATTATGTTTACTTGAAATAATAATTTAATGATTTTAGTTTTATTTAATTAAAAATATAATTATATGTTATATTTGTTATTATTATGATTATTATGTATTAAAATGTTTACTATTTTATAATCTAATTTTAATCATTTATAAATTTTGTTTGATTTTTCAGTTACATAGTTAATATATATATATCATATAAAATATTATTATTTTGTTTAAATAGCTTACTTTGAAATTAATAAGTTTCTTGTTAAATAAAATAATATCTATTTTAATTGCATTTAATATTATATTAAATTGAATAGTTATTATTTTTGTTTTGTTTAGTTATTACAGTATTTTTATATCATTATTTGAAAACTTTTATAAAATTATACTATTAATAGAAATCATGTGTTTTTTTTATTTGTTGAATAAAGTATTATATAATAAAAAAAAATCAAAACGAGATTACAATTATATTATAATATTATTATTATAACTGGTTTTAGTTACAAAATATATTTTATTTAGTATTATTCAGCAGTTTTTATACTATAAATGCTATTATTATAATAAATAATTGAATTTTCATCTAAATTCAGATCATATGTCTATTTTGATTTTATTTATTTATTTTTTTTGCTATTATATATATATTAAAATAAACAGTAAATATATTGAGTATATCTTCAATATATTTGTCTATTTGACGACCTATGATGATAGCTATGTATTATAGTATCTTTATTTTCAACAATTGTTTATTATTACACAAACAAGCAAAAAACAATTGACTTAAAGAAATTATTTTATTTAAAAATTTAATTATATTCATGAATAAAATCATCGAAAAAAAATTCAATTCAACCGTTAATTAATTCATTAAAAAAATAAATGCAAAATCATTACTTATATATATAAAAAAACAAAATTATAATTAATTTCAATAAAATTTATACTAAATAAGTATTTTGTTTCTTAAATTAAAAAAATTAATTACTAACTAATTATTTAATTAAACAAAATATTTTTAAAAAACAAAATAAAATATTAAAAAATACAATGCAAAACATTAATTAAAACATTACTGATTAGTATTACAGCACACTGTATATATCATATTTATATATATTATAGATTTTTTTAAAAATCAGAAATTTAATATTAAAAATTGATAAACAAAAAAGTAAAATATAATTTCAGAGAATTTTTTTTTTATAATGATTTAACTATAATTAAAACTATAGTTTTTTTAAATAAAAAAACAACAACAACAACAAATAAGTTACTAATTATTGAAATTTTTAATTTTTTAATTGCAATTTTCTCTAATGTTACCCAACCTAATGCAAGCTATCTAATTACTCTAAAAAATAATTACATAATAATATTTTTTTAAAAAAATAATTTAATAACTTTTTTTTGTTTTGCAAAAATGTATATAAAAATCAAACAAATATATATATATATATATATATATTCAAAACATACTTATCAATAGATCCCTGCATCCAATAGACCAATGGAAACCATGAGATGGCATCAATAAAGGCCAGATTCGGACGCCTTTCCAATAGCAATACAATCGGCCTCAATGTGTTCGGGTTGTGAAAGTGGGCTCTGAGGGGTACAATAAAATTGTAGATACCGTTGCTGGCGTAGTCGGCCGCCAATATGATGCACCTGGTTTGCTGCCAATTGTAGTCGCGGGCATGCACCCAGGGACAGTGATCGCACGGCTATATGTGTAGTAGTTGAATCGGGTGGGTATGGTTGGTTAGGGTTAATAGTATATTGTTTTATTAATGTGGGTGTGTTTATATATTTATTTATTTATTTATTTTTACCTTGGATATTTGTAGACAACAGGGCTGTTTTTTATCCTTGACCAGATAGCACAGGGTCGGACTAACACCGACATATGGCGATACCGGCGGAAAGCCTTTAACAATGCTTTATAATATGTGTGTGGGGTTTATGACACAAATGAGATAAAAACAAACACAACAATAAAATATTACTTTTTTAATATACTGTACTTTAGTATATATATATATATATATATACTGTATATAAATAAAGTTATTAATAATAAAAAGTCAATATCAAAGTCAAAAGTCAATAATTAATAAATAAAATATAAAAAATATAAATTATATATATGTATATATTCTACTGTATATATATATATATATATGTATATATTTTACTGTATATATATATATATATATATATATATATATATATATTCTACTGTATATATATATATGTATATATTCTACTGTATATATATATATATATATGTGTGTGTGTGTGTCTACCTATGTCTACGATATATACATGTATATGTAGGTATGCGTGTGTCTAATATAATATTTTCAATAAGATATTCAATTTTAGCAACAATTGTTTTTTATAGTATGATATCATTATGTATTAAAAAACTACTTTATTTTAATAAATTCATTGCGTTTATATTTTCATTGTATATTCAAACTTATATTCAATAGGATTTATATATATATAAATAATAATAATAAAAATATATACATAACACATGGTTTTCATTAATTTTCGTTAACTTTTTTTTATATATAATAGTTAGTTTGAAATACCTATCAAATGTTATTTTTATTCATGTTTTATATATATATATATAATATATAAGTTATACGTGTTTTTTGTTGTTGTTATTTTATGGTAGCAATAATAAAGTTATTGTTTTAGCATTTTTACAGTGTATTACAGTGTGTTTGTTATGATTAATGATTGTTTGCTATAAATATTTATTATATAATATACTGTAATATATATATATATATAAATACTGTATACATATATATGCTAATTTAAGTATAAAAATGTTTATATAAATTTCAAAACATTAATCAAACATATACTTGTTGTTGTGTTTATTAAATTACTGTTTAATGTTGAATAGAGAGAGAAAATAAAAATTCATAAATTTTAAATATTATATATTCATGTAATCTCTGTATAAAAAAACAAATATTGTATTATAACAAGTGGATGCAAACAAAATATTATTTTTTTTAAATATATAAAGTTATATAATAAACAAAGAGTTGTAAATTAATATAAATATATTTTTTTATATAAATAATAAAAATATTTTCTATCGAATAGCCATTAAATTAAAATATTAGTATATATACTGTAAGCGAATCTAAAATAATACTGTATTATACAGTTAGTAAAACACTTTATTTGGAGGAATTTAATTTAATTTTATGTTTAAGTTTTAAAATAAAATGTCAAGTATTATATACCATTTTAAAGCTTAATTAATATATTTTAATAATTATATTTAAAAATTTATAAAAAATAAGGGGTGGTCAATTAAAATATATTTTTAAATATATGGTCATATAAAGGTACTTTTAAACACTAATATTTAAATTTTTATTCATTAATTAGAATTAATTATAAAAATAATAAATAATATTGACTATTTATAGAAAAATAGTTTATAATTTTAAATATAATAATATTTTTAATAGAAAAATTATTATTAAAATATAAAATGACTCAAAAGTTATAGTCCTGTTTATAGATTTATAAAATAGGTGAACAAAAAACATCAATAAATTTGGAGCCTTTTAATTTTGTATTAAAAATATTTAACCTAATAATATCATTATAATCTACAATATAACTTATTTTTTATCATTAATATTCATAGTTTAAAATTTATTAAATTAATTATCATCACAAAATTTAAGTTAGTTAATTGGTGTTTAACATGGATTTTATATGTTTATTTTTGACCTATAAGGAAATGGTCAATATTTTAGATATTTTTTATTTTTAAATAAATTGTAAATTATTTTTAAAAAATATAATAAATAAGCTTTAAAATAATATATAACACTTTATATTTAGATAAAAAACTTATTCATAAAATTAATTTAAATTCCCCCAAATAAAGTGTTTTACTACCTGTATAAAGTTATATATATATATAATAAACAAATTGATAATTAAATATGTTATAAAGTTAAAAATAATTAAATTAAACCCATTTTTTTAAACACAGAAAATACTATCAATTTAAGTCTAACTAAATAACTATTTATTTTTTAACTATAATATAAAAATCAATAAATAAATAAATCAAAAAAATTTACTTGTATTTCAATTTAAAATCATTTTAATTTGTAAGAAAAAAATTAAAAAAAATAGTTAAAAAAAAGTAATTTTCTATCAATAATAATATTAATTAATTAATTAATTAATTAAACAAAAAAAACTGGTAATTACTCGGAACTCTCGGCCGGTGAACACCACGGCTTATCCAAATAGCGCTCGGTTTGGTGTTGTTGACCACTATCGGCACCGGCGGCACTATCCTTGTTGTCCTTGACCTCAGCATCCGAATCGTTACTGTTGTTATCGGAATCATCCGAATCGTTGTCGCCGAGCATTGCCGGCACTGGCGCTATACTCGGCCGACGACCGCGTGCGGCCACCCTGTCGTTACTTTTGTTGGTCGGCGACGCCGGCGATCCGAACTCCATTTTAGGCACTTCCAGATGACCAAAGTTTCGGCCGGCGCCAGTGGTCACGCGTTTCACTTTGACAGCAAACTCGGTGACCGCCCGTTTCAATCGGGTCGGCGACGAGTCGCGCCTGATTTTGGCGCCCGACAGCGTAGAGTCCGACGAAAACAGATTCGAGCTCTTGCGCCGTACGGTCGACAGAAACGACATCTCAATGGACTGGTGATGATGTTTACCGCCGCCGCCGCCGCCACCACCGTTGCCGCCGACACCCGACAACTCGTTAGGCACTTGTATACGACTGTGCGTTGTCTGTCCGCCGCCAGAGCCGGCCGTCACCAGTGACTCCAAGTCGACCGGTTTGATGGCTTCGCCATTATTTCCGCCACCACCACCACTACCGCCGATGACTGTGCCGCCGGTTAGGACTCCACTGGGAGTTGTGGCCAACAGCTGACCGCTTCCCGAATGACTGCCGGTCGCCGGCAGAAAAGCCGAGTTTTCTTCTTTGGTAATATTCATGTAGAAACAAATGTCGGACAACTTGAGGACATAGGACGGTCCGGGATTCAACATTATAGGCCACGTCCCCCGCATGTCGGTCTGTATGCCGATCAGAGCCACGCCATACCTGTCCACACAAATGATGATAATAATAATAATTAGAAAAAAATCGGTAAATTTTTGTGTGTATTTTGTTTGTAAAAATTACAACAAAAAATATATAATTTAATGATTAACTGATTAACAAATCATTAAGCAATTACTAAATATATTTTTTTTATCAAACAAAAAATCTAATAGTGTTTCTATACTATGATATTATTCAATAGTGTTTTTGTCGTTTTACTTAATTTTTTTTTGTGTATCTATTGTTTAATTAATTGAAAATTAGGGTTTTTTTTATGTCTATGTCTATGTGTGTGTTATATGTGTGTTATATAATATAAAAAATAAAATAATAAAATCAATAGTTTGTGTGTATTATGTCTACAGAAATAAAAAAACAACAGTAAACTAATTAATTAATTATAAAATCTTTGTTTAAAAAAATTTTATTTTTGTTTTAAAGATTTTATTTTTATTATTATAAATGATAAATTAGATACACAGTATATAAACAAAATTAAGTTAATAATAAATATAACATTAAATATATTTATTATATATAGACTTTTCATATAAAATTAAATTTTTATATACAGTAAAAAATACATATATATATATATATATCATAGATATTAACAACAATATCTATAAAATCAATGGCAAATTTGTTTCAAAGTTGAAAATAAGTTTTTTTAATATTAAATTTTTTGAATTTTTAAAAAATAAAAAAATTTTAATATATCGTATATATATAAATATTTTCAATTTAAATAAATCTTTTTTTTTTAGTTTTTTTTGTTATTATTTTTTACTGTGAAAAAACTATGGATCATATTGTACAGCAATTTATTTATATATATATATAAAGTTTTTTTGTGCTAAAAATATATATCATATATATTAGTTGATTGTCTCGGTTTGAACCGACACTGAGTTTGAAAATTGATGTTTGAATGAAAT